GTGAAACCATCACCTGATTTCCACGAAATTGAATCTCTAGAAGAACAGAGAGTTCTCCGTTAAAAAGCCCTCAGGACTGTTGAGTGAACGCAGCTTTGTGGTTTGGTCCTTCTTCAGAACTTTTACCAGCCTAGCCGTTTGACTCAAGTTTAAATCCCGCTGCAGCCCTCTTCGTAGAGCGAATTGTACTACTTTCCCGCGGCACGGAATCCGCTCTCCCATTCATAATTTTATCTTTGATTTGTAATTGGCACAACAGTGAAGTCTGTTCCCCTTGTGAGCGGTATTCTTTGCTCCATAGCTTTGAGCCAATCCCAGTTAGCTTGGGAGAGGCATTTCACCACAATGGTTCCATCTCTCTCTTATGAACGAGCATTCGCTACAGTGCCGGAGGCAATGACGGCCCGGATCAGCGTTTAATTTCCGGAATAGTCATCTGCCGAGTCTAACCCGCCCTCCCCATTACGGCAATGAGCAGAGGCCTGTTACAAGCTCACAATAAGTTGCTCGGGACCCAGATCTCCAGACGTAGTTGCGTCGAATAGCGAGGACAGTTCTCCCTCGACCGACCCTTGCCTCACTTCTACCCTTGGCTTGAGGCAAGCGTTTCGTGGCGCCAGAGATCTGTCTGGATGATCGGAATTGGGCAATGCCACACCAGTACATTGGTGTCTGTCACCACAGGTTTCCTTCTCTTGCAACGTTCGCAAGCAGATTTGGATGTTGGTACATCCATCAAGGTCCCACTGGCTTCTGGAGTAACCTCCGTAGACCTGGGCCGTTCTGGGCTGTGGAAAGAGGACCAACTCCGTCATTGGAGGGTAGTTGGCAGCGAGCTGCTTCTCAACCTGCATCCCCTGCAAGAGATTGGTCCTCTTCCGACTCTGAAGAAGAGAGGATTGGCTTTTTCTCCCTACTCTCGTCCAGGATGCGCTCCTGGTCTTTGACGTTAAGGACTTTGGCAATGTTTGGGGCCGCAAATGCGGATGATTTCCCACAGATACTACTAAAGTAGCTTAAAGGGTTAACTAAGTACAAGTTGTTAATAAATTTGAAGATATGCGTTTAACAAAACTTGTTTAATTTTCTCTGAAATCTTAATAACATGGACACTAGTTCGAACGGCTTTGGTCTTGTTTCCTAGGTGTTATTTAAATTGTTGCATAAAGATCTTTTTTAGCATATCTAACTATGTGTTTTTATTTTAATTTTTTAGTACATTTTGCATAGTTCTTGCATATTTGTTGCATATATTTTGCATACGTTTTGCATATATTTTGCATATTCAATTTGCATAAAAATCCGAGCTCTAGTCATCAGGCATCTCAAGGTTTAATATTCCGTCGTAGCTGACGTTCCATAGGTCTGGCCCAAGAATGGAGCCTTGTGCTGCGCCCGACGTGATCGTAATTTGTCGGAGTCCATCGGTGGTATGGTACAATAACTCCCGGCCTTCTAGGTAGCTTCTGACCATGAGTCTAAGGTACGTGGGTATGTTGTAGACTTCTTCTAGAGTTTTCTATCTGTGTCCAGCATACAGAGTGGTCGATACGCTGATGGTGAGTCAAGGTTTCCCTTTCCTTTGGTGATTAAGTCGAGGTGCGGCCTTTTCCCCTGATTCCGAAAATCAAGGTTATTTTTAATTTTATGGTACCGTTTTTGAGATATTTGCAATTTACCGTTTTTGCAAAAAAAAAAAAATTGGGTCCACTTAATCATATATATCTCAAGAACGAATTAAGCAGCGGTTTGAAGCTTTTAAAAGGTAATAAAATTTTCTATAAACTGTGCATACAACACTTTTTGCTAGGCCCTGTAGATTCAAAGATAACGAACAATCATTACCGATTTTTTAAATTTTTTTTGTAAAAATATAAAAAAAATTGTACTTTGCGGCGAAGGATCTCGAAAACCTTTCATCGAAGAAAATCGATGCAAAACTACGTAAGTTATAAGCGATCAAATAAAAATACCCAGGTTGCGCAATTTCAACGTATACCTCAAAACGTATGTATGGTATAAAGAAGAGTGAAATATCTAGCTATGCTCTGTTTCTATTGAGTTAAAAGTTCAATTTATGAATGAAATTACCCATATTTTTAACTTTTTTTTTAAATTTATTTATGTTTATACTATATTCTAACAATCTTTATCTTAATTTGATTTTACTATGTTGTCGAAATAATTATGTGTTCTACTTTGACGCTTATTCAGTTTAGGATCGGTTTCTCTTATGAGAAACCAGCAGTAATCACCCATCATTGCGACGTCCCAGAATCCTTGATATCGATTCTCAATTAATTTCATTTGCTGATGAAACCTTTCGCCATGTTCATCACTTTCGTCGCCAAGATTTGCCGGAAAAAAGCTCAAATGTGAGTGGAGAAAGTGAATTTTTAAAGACGTATTTACGCCCATTTTCGCATAATTATTGATTAGGTCGTTCACTATCTGCTCGTAGTTAGGGCTTTTGTGTCTACCGAGAAAAGACGCAACGACCTTTTCAAAGGATTCCCACGCTGCTGCCTCAACTGATGAGAGTAGTCCTTTGAATTGATTATTGTTGATCAACTTTCTTATTTGTGGTCCAACAAAAATACCTTCCTTTATCTTGGCTTGAGAAATATCTGGAAAAACTGTTTTCAAATAGTCGAATGCTTCGCCTTCTTTGTCCAAAGCCTTAACAAAGTTTTTAATGAGACCGAGCTTGATGTGTAAGGGTGGAAGTATGATTTTCTCTTTCTTGACAAGAGGGGTGTATTTGATGTTATCCACACCAACGGTAAACTCGACTCTTTCCGGCCAATCCTTTCTGACGTAGTGGTCCTTACGAGCTCGGCTATCCCACTTGCAGAGGAAGCATCAGTGCTTGGTGTAGCCACTTTGTAGACCGCATAGCATTGCAACGACTTTGAGATCAGAACATATTTTCCAATCATGCTCTTCATATTTGATAAATTTGAGTATTTTTTGCATTTCCTCGTAGGTTTCCTTTGTATTTACTGCATGTGCAATCGGGATAGAAGGCTTTTTGTTACCAATATGCAATAATACAGCCTTCAAACTCAGTTTATTGCCGTCTATGAACAATCGCCACTCTTTTGAATCATATGTTTGACCAAACTCTTTGAATAAACCAGGGATGTCGTTGCAGTAGCATATAACTACTGTCTTTCTTGGTATAGTGTTTGGAAAATGGTTCGTGACGAGTTCTACTATATGTCACCTTAACATCGGATGACACAAATTTAAATTGTTGCATACGAGAAGTGTGGATCTCGGCCTTTTCCTTGGATAGTTCCAAATCTCTTATCCAATCATTAAGTTGTGCTTGTGACAGAACGTTTCTTTCGTTTTCCATGCGAAATTCAGTACAACTTGATCCCCCGCACTCAGATGTTACTGTTGACAATGGAACTGGATCCGCAACTGCCGTTGAATGTAGTACTGGTAATGTCACTGTAGGTACGCTAGCATAGGTTACTCCTCTTGATCTTCCAACGCCAAGTACTTTTGTTTGACAAATATAACACTCTATTGAATGGCAAGTAGGTTCTCTCCATATCATTGGTGTATCAAATTTTGTTTGTTGTCCTGATTCCCACTGAATCAATTCTACTCGACACGATGTACACAAAGTGTTCGGTGTCCATGGTTTTTCAGCATTTTTAGGCTCAATTCCAAAATACTTGGAGTATAAAGTTTTGATATGATCTGAGAACACTCGTCGTCGCCTTATGATAGTATATTGGCCACACATGAAACAGAACATATCTGGATCCTTATTACACTCAAATTCTCGCGTCCTTTTACTCATTTTATTTTTTTTAATAAATCACGGTTTTGAAATTAGACTTATGAACTGAACTATCTCCGGCGAGCCTTGAAGATGTTATGAAGTTTCAAAGCGCATTAACTCATATTTATACTCGGAACAAGAATAAAATTGAAAAAATCAAATCTTACCTAGACAGAAAGGTTCCTTTTTATAACAAGCCGGGAAAAGAAAATACTACCTGTTTTAGATGTAGGCTTTAGAAATTTTCTGTGTCTTATAATTTTGAAAATCTACCTGCATACTTACCCATAACTGACGGAAATACATGTTTATAACTACATGCCTACAGCAGGTTTCGAACCCAACCACTCTTCCTTTCGATGCAACCACTCTACCTACTATAATACAATTCGAGTATTAAAAGTACTATTTGATTTATTTAAAGAAAAAGTGTTATCATTGTTATGGTGTTATTCGTTTATCCGGATAATATCTCACTTGCACTTTATACCTTTAATATATCTGTGTTCATATGGAAAAGTAGCTTATGTCGAAAGGTTGGCTTTAGTATAATGCGGCATTCCCTTTATTCTTTAAACGACAAGGAATTTTTTGATGAGACTTAATAAGAATATTGACTTGCTAGTATCGGAACTACTTCTTGCACGTTTATTTGCCAAAAGTTCTTCAACGGCTCAGCGCCAGTGAGTCATTCGCAATCGTATGCTGCGAATGCCGATTTATACTAAAGCCAGCCTTTCGACATAAGCTACTTTTCCATACGAACACAGATATGTATGTATGTATAGGTACATACATTGAAGTTGCGCAACCTGGGTATTTTTATTTGATCGCTTATAACTTACGTAGTTTTGCATCGATTTTCTTCGATGATAGCTTATTTTTTTGTAATACAACAGAGCTTAGGGAGAAAAAAAAATCTGCAAAAAAATAAAAGGTTTTCGAGATCCTTCCCCGCAAAGTACAATTTTTTTTATATTTTTACAAAAAAAATTGAAAAAATCGGTAATGATTGTTCGTTATCTTTGAATAACCTTGATTTTCGGAATCAGGGGGTGATTTTACATAAGAATTTCATAACGGCGTTTCTGGTAAAGAGAAAAAGTTGAAATTTGTGGTCCAGTGTATTTAGAAGCACTTGAGGGCGTTCTGTGGCGATTATTTTTAGAACTTCTGCTGGAATGCCGTCTGGGCCTGGTACTTTCTTGGCCTTTATTAGTGGCGGACTTGAGCTCTTCTGCGGTAAATGGTGGTATTTCTTGAGGAGCGATGATAGGCTCCATTTCTTGGGTTAATGCCTCATGCGTGGGAAAGAGTTCGCTTACTATATAGTCAATTTTTTGAGCGCTAAGCTCTGGTGGTTTTGCCATGGCCCCAAGTTTTTTCATTGCCACCTTGTATCCGAGACCCCAGGGATTTCTGTTTATATCCTCACACAGTTCTTTCCACTTTCTGTCCTTGCTGGCCTCTATTGCTCGTTTGAGTTCTTTTCTAGCAGCTTGGTATAGTTGTGCCTCTTCAACTGCAGCGCTTCTACGCCTGGCCCTGGTGTAAGTACGCCTCAGGTGGAAGCACGTTCGTCTTAGTTGAGCTATGTTTTCCGTCCACCAATATGCAGGTGTTTTGTGTCGATTGCTTCCAGTTGTCGGCATCGCTTTGGTACAGGCTCTGGAGATCATTTTCATTGTAGTCTCTACTATTTCCATTGCGTTATTGTAAGAGGATTCTTCTGAGCCATGCGCATCTATTTCAGATAGTGCTTCACTATTTAATTTCGAGACATTCCATTTGCGAGTGCTACATTGCATCTTCTTTCGTAAACCATCGTTTTTGGAGTCTATTATAAAAGAGATGTATTGGTGATCGCTACCAGTGTAATCTTCCAATACTTTCCATTCCTTTATGGTGCCTGCTATGCCTTCTGATGCTAGTGTGATGTCTGGCGTGGTTTCCTCGCATCCTGGTCTTCGGAAGGTTGTTGCTGCGCCAGTATTGAGCACTATAAATTCGAGTCGAGCTGACATTTCTAGCACGCGTTTGCCTCTGGAGTCCGTGTTTGGCATCCCCCACTCCGTGGCTCTTGAGTTTAGGTCTCCTGCCATCAGAAATGGTCCTTCCAAGTTCATGGCCGTATCTTCGATATCGTCGAGTTTATCTTGGAAGTCTTGTATGCTATCGCTTGGTGTCAGATCTGGCCCAGGCGAAGCCGTTTCCGTGTCCTTTTTCAGAGATGTGCATGCTGCTTTGGGGGGGTACCCATATAGCAGCGGTGCCCCTGCTGTCTTCTATCCAGATCCCGTTTTCTTTTTTCTTATACTCTTCGCTTATGATTATCTGTGTCAGTAGCGCGTCAGCCGTTTTACTTCTGTGCATGTTGGCTTGCAGGACATTCATTTCTTGGACCAGTTTCTATATACTGAGCATCTAATGGAGCTTGGGATGTGATCCAGCTCAGTGTATTTGGAATCAACGAGGATGTGCCCAACCAATGCCCGGCATGTGGAGAGTCGCCACATGACTCCCGGAACCTCTTCACATGCCCTGAGAATCCCACTCAGCTAACGCCCCTGTCCCTATGGACAGCCCCTTTTGGAAGTAGCAAGCTTCCTGGGCCTCCCCCTAGCTGAAATAGACGACAACGTTGATGGATGAACCGCCCCGAATGGGGCTTAGTAGCCGCTACAACAACAACAGCAGTGTATTTGGCTTCCGAGCACAGCAGCATTTTGTTGGCTTATTACACTCTTTTAGCTTATGACCTGGTTGACCGCATTTTATACAGAGGCCTTGCCCTCTTCTGTTTGGGCCTTTGCAGCCCCCGATTAGATGGCCAGGGCCAAAACATCGAAAGCATCTCTTGCAGTTTTCTTTGAGTCGCACTCTACAGTTTATACAGCCGATTTTGATCCTTGCTTGCTTTATTATTATATCAGCTTTTTCTTCATCGAGCGTCACGAAGGCCCTCACCTGTTCTCTACTGTTGGGAGCGGAGTGTTACAGTTTAACTGCAGGGATTAGTGGATCAGTGGTATAAATAATTATAATTATACATGTAACTTATTAATCAATTTTAGTAAATCACTGTCCTTTCAAAACGCCACCTTAGTAAAACACATCGGACATAATTGATATAAGCCAGTGACGGACCCCATTCGTCCCACAACAGTCGGGTTTTCGTAACCGGAACAGCCCAGATATCTGTCTGTTACAACTACAACAACGAGGTGCAACCATCCCAACACTTCCTCTTAGGCTATCTGCACACTTGTCGTCCAATCATAGTTGCGTTATCGTCTCGCCCTGAAATTTTGAGCCGAGCACATGCATTTCAAAGGAGATCTGCACACTTGTTATCGGCTAGTTATAGGCATATCGTAGAAGATGCAGAAACGGATAAGTACGGCACTGTCGTTTTCTAATCGTTGTGCACGCATTGTTTGTTTACTTTTTATGGGGAAAAATTAGTGAAAAAGTTAATATTTGCATTAAAATTGTATAAAAATTAGTATTTTTTGCATAAAATCTGTGGAAAATATTAAAAAGTGGATAATTGCATTAAAAATCAATAAATGTGAGCGTTTTAACTATAAAATATGACGAAATTGTAAAAAGTCTCTGTGTGCATGCACAAAACACATTTCAGGAAAAGAAAAGAAGAGATATTACTGAAAAATGATGTCTAGAATTGTTGCAGCACAGTCTATATTTTAAAAATTGCAGGTTTTTGTAAATGTTTCGCGAAAATATCAACCAGAAAAAGAGAAAATACCTGCTCCAAGTGAATTTTTAGACGCCAAATGAATTGAAATATCACGACCGAGTGTGCGAAAGTGTAGTCGTCATGTAATCGTTGCATGATGATTGTGACGATGATTGGACGACCAATGTGCAGAAAGCCTTAGACTTTCTAGTTTTTTGGTAGATTGAGGCACCAGGGATCGCATTTTCTGACTAGCCCGAATGAGCTCTCCTGGACTAACATCTGCTAGGCTAGGGCTTCCATAATCCTGAATCCATCGACCAGGACATTTATTCCCCATAAATCCAGTTTCTTTGGTTCTGGCGTTGCATTATTTTGAGGAATTTTCTGATAATATAAGCAAAGCAGTTTTGTGGCATTATCCGTAGAGCTGAATAATTGATGATGATGAAAAAGTTCTGAATTTTTTTCGAAATAAAAGACCAAATTTCTCTTGACGGTGACGTAACTAATGATGATAAATGTTTGGCGCTTTTAGCGTGGTATTGAATGCTTGCTTAACCACCAGTAGCAAATTTCCACATATCCTACAATCTGCTTCATGATAATTTTTGCCATTTTGTATATGCATAAGCTAAGGATAATTTAGGTAGGCTGTTTGAAGTGAAGCCATTCTAAAAGACTGAAAAACAGGACTGAAAAAAGTGCTTCCCTACATGCTTCCCTGCATGCTTTTTAGAAAGGGGTTCCCCATTTACAATTTACGCGAATGTACTTAAGTATATGTTGACATTATTTAGCATTACAAATAGGATTCAATAAGCATTTCAAGTCTCAATCAATAATATTTGATCTGAACCTTAAATATTTAATGAGAAGCGAAAACAGAAGCCCTTCAATTTGTGCCACTCAGTACAAAAGAGGAAGCAGAAATGAATGGCTTTCAGAAAGCCCTTTTGGAAGAGATTTTAACTCCTAAAATTATCTACTGCACCCTGCAGGAGGTTGCACGTTTTTGGCGTTTGCCTCATGGGCGTAGCCAGAACGAAATTCAGAGAGGGGGCGGTTGGTTGCGGCCTATTACAAAAAAAAAAATGTTAAAACCAATAACTTACTTATTAAAAAAATGTTTATTTTTAATATATTTCGTTGAGCTTTGTACCACGATTGTTTATTAGGAAAAATTGAAAAAGCAACAAAGTCTAAGCGGTAGAAGTTATAGCAGCTATTTCGGAGATCACCACATCTCCTCATCGGACTTCTTTTTTCTAGATTTCTGCTACCACCAGCGGTGTGGTATGTATTTCTGTGTAAGCTACCGATTACAATTGGTTTCAACCGGTTACTTTGACCCAAACACTGTTTTCATTTTTAGAGTACTTTTTGGGGATAATCCGCACGCCTAAAGACGAGAATTCCTCTGTGAAAATCACTTGGCTTCACAATGAAAAAAATGTACAGAAGTCGAAATGTCGGCAAAACGCAGTAGAAGGTAGAATATGTGTATAGTCCCCACCTTTTCCTGGAAGCTCAACCTAACACAAAGTGTTTCTCGACTTATGTAAGTGCTACATAACGAATCCATTTCTTGTTAAAGTTGCCCTTCTAAGTTATCACAATCAAAAGCGGGTAGCTATGTATTTCCCTCAGCATTGCCCTTGTTATCAGAATGTATGTGTTGCTAGGTATCTGATTTCATACAGTAGATGGAACTTATGACGGCTGTTCTTACCTTGAAGAGGATGTGACAGTGAAACACTTTTCGCCTTGGCTAGCAGCAAGTATGATGTTTCCGTAGCCATGTGTCGAAAGACTTAACATCTCAGATCTTTTACCTCCTGCGTCAGCTTAAACAACTGAGTATTCTTTCGAAATTTCAACCAGATCGATCACATATAGGGTGAATTCCAAAAATACAAAGCATCAGTCTCTTTTATTTCTAAACCGCAGCAGATTGTAATGCCAAATGTGCGCAACCACGGTTAGATGCTAATTTTCAACTATGTTGCGCAAGTTAGACTTTTTTTCTAGTCCGCTTTAGAAATAAAAGAGACTGATGCTTTGTATTTTGACGTTTTGGAATGCACCCATATATACTAAACGACATAAATCATTATCTCAACCGAATATGTACTTCTGTTGTTTATTTTTTCTTAAAAAAATACGTACTTTTCTACAATTACTATATTTCGATCATCTTTAAAAATGAGAGGATAGAGAAATATACTAGTTAAAGTATTATGTATTATTAAAGCGGTTGTGGTACAAAAACTTAAACATATGTATATAAACTAACAACAACAAAAATATAAGTGACATGAGATTTTGCTGAACCACTCCCCTTGTGTTCTCTTTTAGGAGAAGCAGTACGTCGAATTTCGGTGCAGAAATCCCCGAAAAATGTTCCAAACACTCGGATTAAAAAACAAAATTATAAAAAATATAAAGAAGTTGTATAGAACTAGAAACATTTATGGTACATTTATGGAAATCCAAATACACTTAAGTTCAGAACTATAAGCGCGTTCAAATCTACCAGTTCGGGCTCTCTTGCGAACTGATTCTTTATTCAACAGCATGGCTGCCGCTACACGAAATAATCCTAATGAAGAAAATGGAGAGAGCGGGGGGAGTGGTACCAGGGCCAACACCAGCAGTAACAATAACAACAACAATAACAGCAGTTGTAACAACAACAACAATGACGACAGTACAAGCCGTAATCAACCAGTGATGGACGAAATGGAGATGAAATTGAAGCGTCAAACGCTGGAACAACGCAAACAGGATCTGGAGCGGGTACTTAGCGAAAAGAATTGGCTGCTGCAACAAATACAAAAACAAGAGACGCAAATATTTAATGGCAACTATGAGTACTTGAATGTAAATGATATCTTTGCAATGTTGGCACGACAATATAAGAAAGAATTCGGTGGCATTGGAGCCGGCGATGTTGGTAGCACCGCTGTTCTACGGCGGAAAACAATAAGCGGAACCTGTAAGGATAATCCGGCAAACCACAACAATACAAGCAATAACAACAATCGCCAATCAGAAATTTCAAATCGTTCATCGGAATATGACAATTATCCTGCTGGGGATTCGAGTATTAGTGACACCAATACAGCCAGTCTTAATGTTGGCGCTGCGCAACAACAGCTGACCAAGAGTCAGTCAATGAAGAAACGTAGCACCACAACGCCTACTACGACATCTGTGGGCAACTACAATTACTTGCAAGCACAGCAGAGACAGCAACAGTTGCTGCAGCAGCAGATGTTGCAAAATCACATGCAATATTCGGATTTGATCCAACATCAGCACTACCATCATCAACAACATCAGATGCTTCAATATCATCAGGGGCATGAGGAGCAACAGCAACCGCAGCAACAACAGTACAAGCAGCAAATCTCCCCTTCACAGTCGCAATCGCGACACTATCCAGCTGACACTATTTCATTGTACTCCGTTAATTCAGCGAGTGTTGCCACTTTGCGTCAGCAACACATTGCACCACAGCAACAGGCGATTGTAGTGCAATGCGACCGCTACTATCTATCGCCCACGCATCAGAGCTACAATGATGGTGGTTTCATCAAGTCCAGTCAAAATATTAAAAAATATGTTTCGCCTCAGGCATCGCCAACGCATCACGGGGTCATACAACATTCACAGCATCCTTACCAACAAGATTTGCAAGTGACAACAGCAGCTGCGGCCGAACAAAAGTATCAGCACCACCAGCAACAACCGCAACAACAACAAAAATGTATACCACTCCAGCAGCTGCAATCTCACATCTTACTACATCAGCCGCAGCATGCTTCTAGTAGACAGCTAGATGCCATCTCGCTAGCTCCTTCGTACATCTCTGTCGATGTGGAAAGTGCAGCAACACATAATCCGCGCTGGCGGTCCCAAAGCAATCTGCCACCCATTTCACCACATACACCACCACACAGAGGATTGGCATACAATCAAAGTCAAATCGCTGCAGACACGAAGTCGCATTCAAGTGATATGTTGTCAAGTAATGCATATTATAACACATCCGCAGCGCTGCCGGCAGCATCAATTAAGTCACTGACGAAGCCTCTCGACGAAATATCCATTTCTTCGTTGAATAGCGAAACGCAAAAAACCAAACCACCGAAACCCAAACAGTGGATGGAGTCGTCTCTAGATGGTCCGGTAATGCGGCAAGCACCAGCAGCCGGCGGTAATTCTGCACATTTGCAGGACATATTCCATAACACAACCAGTTCACCACGCATGCCAACAAATAAATCACAAACGGGCGCGGCCACTCTGTCTGGGGGTGGTGGGGGGCAGTGGCCCAAGTGTCCCACGTGAACGTGGAAAGCTCTCGTCACAGTCCATGTCATGCGCCTCACGCCATTACTCCATGTCCGCAGCTTCGCACAAAAACCCATATTCCCAAACAAAAATGCTACAGGATGACGATGGACGCTACGCCAAACTAAGTCAGTCTACATCCTATCTCAATAGTAGGGAGTCACCTTCAATATCGGCTGCATATCCATTGGACGGAAGCACGAACAGTACCACCATTGAACTACCAACACCGACAACAATATTCAAGTACTTGCCGCCGAAACCCAGTACCGCAGTAAATGCTGCTCGCCAGCTAACTCCACCACCTCCTCCACGGCCACCACCTATTGCCGAGAAAGCCATGGGAGTAGGTGGTGGTGTTATAGTTACCAATGCTGGTGTAGTATCCAGCGCTTTGTCCCCGACGGATATACGTATTGAATCGCCAAAAAATATCACAGTGGTAAAACCAGCTACTTTCCGGCCGTATCAGGAGGAGACCAAACCTTTTGAAATGTCAGATTTTTATAAATATTCTACTAAGTTTCGACAAAAAGAGCCATCAGCTCCGAATTTAGAGCATTAGAATTAGTGAATGTGCTGAATTACGCAAAGTAGACAAGCATCACATTTTAAATGACTTCACATTTTATAAAATTTGAAGCAATGGGGTCAGTTAGGAAATATTAATACATATTAGATCAATGACTTTATAGACTTGAAACAGTTTTATGGAATTATTAGTGTACTATTACTTTTTATATATGTATGCATGCATATACATACATACGTTGTTAAAATTTGCGTAGTTTATAGATCGGTAACTTATGTAAGAACACTAGGGATAGTGAGAACCATGATCACTACAATTCATGTATATAGGAGTGCTGGAAAACAAGAAAACCCATTATGAAACTAAGAAATTAGAGAAGCCTTAATATATCGTCGCTTGGCGTGCAATACCTCGCAATCGCCAAATGCAATACCACGTATGAGGTGACTGAGAAAAAAAATATTTTCGGTACCCTGTCTCAGCGCTTGCCTACTTCACAAATTTAATTGTCAATCATTTTAGTAGAAGCTCATATTTAATAAATTCAGTTAAAAAACCATTCAAAAGTTGAAAAGAAAATAAGTTTATTTGCACTTTTGCGAAATTTTCGGACCATCGTATGCGTGGTATTGCATTTGGTGTTCACGAGGTATTGCGCGCCAAGCGACGATATGTATGTATAGGAAGCTTTACTTGATACCAGATAAGGTAATGCAACTACACCCATCGAAACTAATTTTATAAAAAAGACTTGTTAAATTTTGATATACATAGATAAACTTTTCAAATTTTTGCACAGAAAATGCCTAATTATGTAGAGCACTAGAATTGCCAATACGTTTTATAGGATTTTGAATTATTCCATAGTTTTTATTAAAATATTTTGTAATTTAGACGAAGAAAACATCTATGATTGCCTTTGATATTAAAATCGTAAAAGTTATTTATGAAAATTGTAACTTCCTTGCAACATGGACGTGCTGATCATTGCCAAATTGACATACGTTTTTAGGATAACACACATATTTTTGTACTAAAAAACTGTTAAAACCTTACAAAATGAATTATATATATAAATACATATTTTAAATATATATATATATGTATACACCTAATATAAATCTTAGGTATGAATTAAATTGTATTACGAATATTGACAAACGAAAAATCTTATCTTCTTCTTACATAGTATAAAGGAAAGTCGAGACGTGACGAGATTTTCTCTAATATACTCTGTATCGACAGGAGAGGGATCTTTTTTTACTTAGAATTTTAATAGGGTTGCCACCTGTCTAAAAAACTATAAGATCCGTACCGTTCGTTGGATTACAAAAGATGAGATGTCAAAAGGGATTGGCCTCTAGAAAAGCACTATTTAATATTTTTTTTTGTTTTTAGTAGGGCTGCCACCTGTTAATAAAATTACCATTTTCAATCATAATAAGCGTAGGCATCAGTTCTGTACCGTCACTGTCAAACGAAAAGACTTAGCCTCTGGATGTGTAATAATGTATTATTCTTCTGAGTACCACCTCTTTAAAAACTAAGATCTTCACCATTCGTTGGATAAAAAAAATAAGATACCAATTGAAAGTGCATGGCCTTCGCATGCACAAAACCTTTAAGTTTTTTGAGTAGGGTTGCCCCCTATTTATAATTACTATCTTCTATACATAGTATAAAGGAAAAGCGAGATATATTAACCTCGCTACTGAGCTGATTTAGAGAAGATTTTTTATGTATATAATAAACGAAGTACATGATGACATATGATTTCTTTCTCCAAATACATAAATGCACATACATATGCATACATCCTTGGCCGGCTAGTATTAAATAAATTACTTGAGAATACGAATTGGAAGCGCCTTTAGTTGTTTAAAATTTCGTCATCTCGATCCATTGCCCTAAAATTTAATCTGCGCTTTGCGAAACCTGTTACAGCCGGAATCGAAAGGGAGCAGAACTTAGGATAGACAAGTATACTATAAGCCGTCTCTTAGATTAAAGTATATTTAGTAGCTATAAACCATAGTTTTCTTAGATAGAGTTTTCATTGCATGTTTAAACTTTGTTTCTTATAAAAAATTAAATAAAAGTAAAGGAAAATTACCAAAAATCTCGTAAAAAATCGTTGAAACATATGTAAAAAACGATATAAAAACAAATTTTATGTGACTTTCGCAGATCGAATGATTACATTTGTTTTAACCATCTATGAAGAGGGGCAAAAAATAACTTGTTGGTAATTAAAAACTATGTAAAATAATGTAAACTGATAGGATTTCTAATGGACATCTTTTCGAAAGCAAAAAACTACAATCTCAATAATCTGATAGTATTGACTGCATATGGTCGGCCGCTGTGGTGTAGTGGTAAGCAGTGCGCGCTATCACTCAACGGCACCTGGGTTCAAACCCTGGTGAGAAAAGGTTTTTTCTTAACAGCTGTCGTCCCTCGACAGGCAATGGCAAACCTCCGAGTGTATTTCTGCTATGAAAAACAGCTCATAAAAATACAATCGCCGTTCGAAGTCGGCGTAAAACTGTAGGTCCCTCCGCTTTGTGTGACAGCATCAAGGCACACGCCTCAAGTCGGAGGAGAAGCTCGGCCAAACGCTAGCATATGTGTAAGCGCCGATCTATTATTATTATTATTATTATTATTATTATTATTATTATTATTATTATTATTATTATTA